GAGTAAATTGGACGGAACGATACGCGGGCAGCGTTCGAAGGAGAGCGGTGCACGTGTGGCGTCTTCATAAACGACGCGGATTGGCGGGGCACAAGCTCAAGTTTGACGTGTATCCTGATAGATTTACAATATTAATTTTTAAATTTTGCTAAGAAAATGTGTCATTTTCTCTTTTGTAAGGAATTTGGCCCTTACTAAACCACAAAAGTAACACAAGTCCGTTGTATTCAGACAGTTACAGCATAACGTTTTTCTCAGGGTGACGAAATCATCTCATGACCTTTCTTAAGACGAGAGTATCTCAATTGTGATAAGAGGAAAAAATCATCAGTGAATAAAACATACTCAAAATTGAGTTTCTACCTCGTTCTTCTCCAGTTGAATAACTAATTAACAAACCTTTGATTAAGTTGGAATTAATGATTTTAACTTTGACTTTTGATCAGTTATTATATTTATTTACAACCAACAATGGCTTCACACTGGTTGGGCGCCAGCCTTCGTCACCACCACACACCACGCCAGAGGCATTTCATTAAAATTCCCATGTTACCGAAGTATTGCACCAAACATTGAAATGATAATAAATTTAATTTAATTTATAAAAAATCCGAAAGCAGTGACGTCATTTTGCCCCCGAGATACATGTACTCTGCTAATGAGGGCTTTGTTTAAAACAATGTTTTTTGTTCTTGTTTCAGAATGTACATTTATAGTCGCAACTATAGTAGCCAACAAAGTTATTCGTTAACTTCAAAATATCTTTTATTTATCAAAGAAATAGATAAATAGATTTTTGTTCTTAGTTACGAAGATTTTAATAACGAATTGTTCGTTTCATCTAGTACTTAATTTAAGAGATTGAAGTCATAGTTTAATAGATTCATTAAGAGGTCTGACCGACAGAATGACACGTTTAATCTTTTAACTTTATTCGACGTTCTATTGTGACTGTAAGGATCTGATTGAAATCCGGGGTTGCGGGTTAAGCACAATGAGTGACCGGGGCCGCGGCCCAGAGCAGGAAAAGGAACGGAGGGGTTTTTAGTCAGCAAGAGTCTGACACTCTCTCTCGCCTAACCCTGGGCGGGCGAATTCATTTGACGATTTTCCCCTGACAAAAAAAGGATCTGATTGAAATAAATAATTTCGATTTTCTTTACTTCTTACATGATCATACTTATTTTATTTATTTATATTAACGAGTAATTAATTTATTTGATTTAAAGCAAACTTTAAAGCAAAAATTATTTCAGTACAATAATCGAATTTACCACAAATTCACACCAACTACAAAAAGGACAACATTTAACAATGTAACTGAATTATAATGTAATATTAACCCATACTGTGTCTAAAAGGAAAATGTGACTCCAACGAACAATGTATACACATGTATACATAAGTGCCCCATTTTAAATTGCATCCTACGCAGATTAACCTAATGTAATGGGGATACATTTTAATGCTTCCATTTTCCCAAAAAAAAACCCCTATTTCCCCACTCTTCCAATCTCTACCCCGCTTTTATGCCCTCATCCGAAAGTGTTCATGCTTTCTGGGAAAACATTTAATATTATTTTGCTTAGAAGCCCCGACTTTTCTTTACGAGGAAGTTGTTAAATTACGGATAATTTATACTTCAAACGGTGTAAGAAAATTGAAAATTATGGAGTTGATAGCGTATAATTTGAAGATCCCAAAAAACTTGGCGCGAAAGAGCCAAGTTATCTGTTAAGAAAAGAAATGAAACAATAAGTAATTATTAAGGGCTTTCTTCTATAAAATGTTTGTTTATAGTTGACCTTTTGTTTTTAAACAAGATTTCTTACTTTAGAAGACCAAAAGTGGAATATACTAAAAGACTTATATGAATTAGCTGTGAGAAGCTCTAATAGTGTCAGTTTGTCTGCTTTTCACAATTAATTCACGTGAGTTATTCGTTTTTTTTTTTATATAATATCTCTCACGATAAGAGGCATCAAATATAGAATAGTCTCTTCTTAATATTATGGGAATAATGTCTTTTAAAATACACATTATTTCCATATTGGGGCGTCATCAAAATGGTATACCACAGTCTGTTACGTTCCTCTAACTATTAAAAAAAATATTCTCCGATAAATACTTTAAATTGGGATTCATGGATTTATAATATAGTTCATTACAGTTCAACTCAATATAAACTTGTCATAAAATAACTAAAAATGCCCTTCGTCAAATCTACAATAATAACAAGCTCAATACACAAGTTACACCAACTTTGTAACACATCTAGTATAATAATTCCATTTGAGGTTTACACGAACAATACGTTCGCCGTCATACATCACCGGACCGGACCGGGCCGCACACGGCTTCTATTTATCGGAACCGTCGACGTTATCCGGCCATTGTTTCGCTGTCAATTACCGTACGAAAGTCTGACGTAGCGAATATTCTTTGGGAGAAACAGATTCTTTTTTTTTGTTTCGTTTTTTTTTTTGAGTCAGTACGAGATATGATTTTCTGACTTTAATAGAATAAAAGGAATATTATAGGCTTTTGTCTTAGCTAGGTAATTGGTTATATATAAATAATATTCTTCGCCTAAAAGAAGTACGTGCCGAGCAAGAGGTCGTGGAACGGACAAAGACTAATTAAAGTTTTCTAATATTTCCTCAGATTTTTTTATGGATTAGGTCAGCAAAGGAGCAGACTGCAGACATCGACACCCGCAACAAGGGAGGAGTTACGAGTGCGTTGGCAACCTTTTGGGAGGTAAGGGATTTGGAGATTTTGGAATCGAGGAGAGATTGGGGGAGGGGAAGAATTGGGCCTCTGGTAACCTCAATCAGACGGCAAAACACAAAGCTGCAGTATTCTTTTATTGGAGGAATTCAGTCTTCGTCTTCTAGTCAAAATCGAAAATTATATCAAGCCCAATTAAAATTTTATGCTGTAATATTTTCACAACAGTAAATCTACCAAAATATATAACAAACAATATTTGGGCAATTTTACACCTTATACGTCAGATGCATTGAATTTGCTGAAGCGATTAAAATAAACCTTAAATAAATGTAAAATTTTCCTTTTATGCTAGCCATACTTCGGTCGAATGGGCTTACTAGACCCAGGTGATATCAAGGCCTTATAGAAAACGGGCCAAGAAACAACGCTGGGTTTGTGTTTAGCCGCATGAGCGAGAAAAGCGGAGCGAGGAAACCGTCTCTCCTCGTTCTCACCTTTCATCCCCAATTTCTATATCCTTAATTATCAAAACCACAGCAAAAAGGCCAGCAAGTACTTGTAAGTACCTCCTCGATGTTGCATAATGAGAATAGACGACGATGACCCGTTCGCTTTGCCGACCCAAAGTAAATCAGTATAAATCTAAAATCATATATTATGTATATAGCTCAGCTACTTAGCCAATGCAATCAGATTATCCAGTGGAGCGTTAAGTAACTATGACCAATGTAATTTGTGGCATTTGACATGTCATTAGATCAACATTTCGTGTCAAACAAATCGTATCGCGTTCAAAGACCCTTTGGATCTAAAAGACCTATTGGACCTATTACGACGAATTTGTTCACGATGCTATGATCCAATTTGACTTTATAATAACCTTATAGCATAATGGCCTCTATTAGCAAGCCATTAAGTTCAAAACATTAATTGCGTGATTTTTATAGATAGACAAATTGATGTTCATTCGATATAAAATTTACAATCAAATAGTTCGAAATACGAATCGAAACATTCCTAATAAAACTTAATGAAGACAAATGTTTATTTAGATATTTTTTTTATTCCGAGTTTAATTAATGGTACATAATATTTTCTTCATTGTGAAGGTTGGGCTTTTGGACCAGATGTAATGTCGTTCCAAGGCGCCTGTAAATATTGTAATTGAAATAAATTTATCGATGCCAGCGCAGCCAGCAGATATCAGCCCTATAGGGCTCCATTACTTGCCCATCTTATAAGTTATTATTTTTAAATAATTCAAAAATATATATCTAATAGCATTATATTTGATTAATAAAAACTGAATATAATTTCGAGACGCAACCATAAACGAAGTCTTACTAAGTATATTTTCTTTTCATTTTCAATTCAAATAGCAATAAGTACAAATATCTTTTAAATAACCGTTCTGTTTTCACAACTGCATCGTTAAGACGCGACTGAGCTTAATTAAAAGAAAACACACATTTAAATAAGAAAATAGAATTTTTAATTCTAAAAAAATATGTTACAAAATTATTCTTAGCTAGCGAAAGTTTGAATTTCTACAAACTAATGAAAAAAGTAATGTAATGCGTATGAATAGGTATGAACTGTGGGTATGAAGTTGTAAACTCTTGAGATGAAATGTCTTTCTTTGTTTTGTTTTACTTTAAAATGGGACTGCCATATTCTTTTTTTAAAAGATGATGATTTTTGTTAGCTACAGCTACTATTTACATAATGTAAATGCTTTTAAATTGTGTTCAAAGGGTAAAAAATAAGATCCACTTTAAACAATTGTAGATTTGTCAAAAAGAACTAAATTTCAGACTAAATCAAGTATACCGGAATAATATCACTTCGTTTATTAAAGCAATGAAGGGATGTCAAAGTATAAAAAAACATTATTTACAATTACAACTCATATACAAGACGGATTTTGTTCGTGTTAAAAATCAAATATGGCAGATCCCAAGTTACTCAATACAACACGCAATTGTTTAAAAAACACTTTCTAATAATAAATTTTCACATGACATGTGAAAATTTACCAATTTAACAAAATAAACAATATTTTACAAAAATGATTATGAGTTAATTAAAAAAAGATTTTCTTATAATTTAAATAAAATAAAATTATCTCTACGAACGTTAGTGTGAAAATGGGTTGTGAAAGCGTGATACGATGTTTACAAAATGAACAACATTGTGTGGTGAAATAAAATCAGAATTTGATTGAACATTTTAGAGTCACGAAAGACTAATTTATTTTGAATTTTCGATGGGTTTTCCAAATAACTTAATGTTACATTTCCTACGATAATGGCGATTTGTTTTCTTCTTTGCTTATTTCTAGATCTTTCTGTAGTAAATTCCATGGGATGGACGGAGTCCGTGGGATGGGCGGAGTTCGTGGGCCGGAACTTCTTCGTGTTCTTCTGGTTTGGGTTTAGGTATGAATGGGTTGTGGTAAGGATCTGCGTTCAACCTGAAATAAAAATAATAACATACATTTACTTATCCATTACTTTCTGCCAACAACGCCCAAAGCCGGTATGTTTCAGATTATAATTTACATATCTGTGTACGACAAACTTTTTATTATTTTGCTCTTACGTAACCTACTTTATTTTTTGCGCAAATAACAAAAAAAAAATTTTAAATTCCGTCAGTAATGGGAGGCTCCTATTTCTTCATTTATGTTCTAACTCTTTTTTCATTTATGTTCAAACTACAATTAAATATAGAGCCTCAGATTGACCTGAAATAAAGAGCTAAGTATATTTTTCAGCAGTTTATTTTTATCTTCAGTATAGCACAGAAATGTTGTTGCCTGGTGATTTTGGCATTGATTTCGTGTATGGGGTTGAAACCTAAAAAGCACCAATGTGACGTTTTCCAGTAACATGATTGTTTTTAAATAATTTAGACATTCCTAACGTAGCAAAAACTGGTGAGAAAACCTGGACTTAAACTTTCACATGTTTGAAATCTCCACGCCATCCAATATGTGGTGCTTAATACTCATTCCCTTTCGATGTGGGAAGAGTTGTAAATTAATGATGTAATGTGATATAAAGAGATTGAAAAGGCACGTCTGAATGCTAATTAAAAGTGCCAATACTTACTTGTAAAGTGTGATGGCCTTAGAACAATCGACGTTGTACCACCAATCACAGGCGAACTTGGCCTGGTCAAAGAGTGTTCCGTTTGTACATAGGAAAGAGGCTCCTTGCTGACCCTCGCGACCATCATGGCACACATGGTAAGCCTGTAAAAAATAAAAAAGTCGTTATTTAAAAACAGACCGAAATACCATAGTGACAAGAATGAAAATAAGTAAAATTAATAAGAATATTAAATTGATTTTATATTTTAATTCATATTTGTCGATAAAAAAATCGGAATATTATAGGGTATTGGAGGAATATTTGACTTCAACACATTTCAGTAGTCAATAAAATTTCAATATGCTGCCGTGGCCAATCAACCGACGCGCTGGTTGTTGTACCTGCTGCCATGCAAGGAGTCATTTGATCTTTACAAAGAACAACCCTCTGCGTGATTCATAATTTGTTAATCCAGTTTTGGGTGTGATGTGTTTGTAAAATTGTTTATTTATAAACGCATCCTTGACAAAGACGTTGAAAACCTTTACCCTTACCGTTTACATGCTGCCTATTAGCTACTAGCTAGTTTGCTATTAATGAAACTGATATAACATTTATGTCTAAAAAGTTTAACAACAAACTAATTACTCGTCCCAAGCACATAATTGGTATATAACCACAATAAGTAAACTTTAAAAAAAATAATATCAAGAAAAATCTTTGACATTATTATTATCGTGTAAAAGTTTTTTATAATCTTAGTTTAAAAAGTATTGAAGAAAAAACTGAAATTCATGGAATGCCTCGAGGCCACAAATAAATAGGTACTTAGTTCATAATTTAATAAAATAGCCTATTTACCCTGGCTTTATAGATACATGCTGTTCCGTAACCTTTTAAGTGAATATTCTATTTTTAAACTTTAATAAAAAATAACATACATATTTGTACAAAAGCGAAAAACCATATTTTAGTTTGAACGACGCTGTAGATCCATAATTATGTAAGTACATACCTACATACATTTCGAAAATATTCATTTTACGTACATAAAAATAAATATTATAAAATCCGCAAGGCAGCTTGTGGCGAGCTGTTGGGCAGTGGCGACCCCACGGACCTGACTCCCGGGAGGTGTCTTGTTTTTCACCTCCGGTTAGTCCTTGTGACGAGCTGGAGTGAACACTGATGAAGAACAAGCCCTCCCACCTCATTCTTGCCTTAATTGGCTGGCTTGAGTGGAGATTCGCAAGAGTAGGAGTTGAAGGAGACTCGAGGGAAGGATGTATCTCAGTAAGGTGCTGGTAGGGGTCTTGACCGTACTTCCGGGATTGCTCTGATAGCCGTGGGATACCTCTCCTTCCCCAAGCAGCTCAACGTATGTTGCCCCCGTGTCGCTACATGCTAGCGGCCGTTTCCGGGGGCCCATTAATTGAGTTTGCCAGTCACCCCCTGCCTGTTTATCCGTATGTATCAATATTGGTCAGGGGCAGGGGCCATAGTATCTCCATAGTTTTCATCCACTAGTGCATAGCAACCCATACCTATAACCCTATTAATAGAATAAAAATAAATAAATAAATAAATCAAAGACAAAATATACCTGAAATTTTTTTTTGTCTTTAAACATAATTCCCTAGATCATTTCTAAGTCGTACTAAAAAGGGACATTAAACAGTTTTTCCAAAACATTCAAAGATATCGCACACATCCAAACAACAAAATTAATGACAAAAGGTTAGAAAGTTATACTAATTTTAGAAGAAATATAACGATTCAAATAATAAGTTTGAATTACCTTCGAAGGCTCTAAGGCTACTCGGGTGCGACAATATCTCGAAACTTATTCAATTTGGTGAAATTACATGGTAATTATTCGACCACCCTATAGTAACCATACAATTAGGAAACCGAACTTTTTCGAGGTAATCGAGTTAAAATAATGGGTTTCTTTCGTTAATCTATAATTTACTCGTAAATACAGACAAACATACACTTACATTTATAGTTTTGTCGGATTTTTTCTGACCTTTCAATCGTGGTAATATGAGAAACAAAAGTAAGACAATAGATGCACGAATGTCGCTGGCGGTCTTGGGGTTTAATAAATTAAAAGTAAAACTATCAACACTAGCTCCAAAGAGAAAGAGGTTACTACTTACTCTTTAATTTATAGAGGAAAATTATAAAATGCAGGTGTCCCCACAGCAGGTGAGAGGGAATATTAGACTCTAACTGACTAAAAATCACCTCGTACCTGTTCTCGTTGCGAGCCAGAGCTGGCTGCGGTGCATTAAGCGCTTGCTAAGTAATGATCATAATACGAAACACGCGGCTAGAATTAAAATTCTATTCTATTCATTATCGGTTGGCGCAATGGCTGGGCAACTGGCGGTCGATGTCGCGCAACGTGTTGCGGGTTCGATTCCCGTACGGAGTAACTCTTTGTGTGATCCACAAATTATTTCGGGTCTGGGTGTCATGTGCATGTAAAGTTCTATGTTTGTAAACGCACCTACGACACAGGAGAAAGTCTTAGACTACGGAAGATTATGGAAACGTTTAGCAAAAAGAACGAACTCTAAAAAACTCAATACTTTAACAATTTACGTACATTCACTTATACGTTAAGTAATATATATACATAAGTACGTTTGTTATTAACTGCATAGTATAAAACAAAGTCGCTTTCTCTTTCTTATATCCCTATGTATGCTTAAATCTTTAAAACTACACAACGGATTTTGTTACAGTTTTTTAATAGATAGAGTGATTGAAGAGAAATGTTTATATGTGTAATAATAACATCTATTAAATAATGGAGTATCACAATTGCAATCACAAAGGTTGACTGGTGGGAATGCCTACGGCATTATGTCCGCCTATGTAATGTTTTGTTGCATAAAGTTTAAATAAATAAATAAATGAATAAATTGCACTGGTATGAAACCGTGTCGCTAGTACGTAATATTATAATCTTATTGAAACTCCATTGAACTACACAGTTGCACACAGATTGCAGAAGGGATTGCTACTGTATCTTGCATCATAAATCGGACGACAGCACATGGTCTCGATGAGAAAAGTTGAGATGGAACATAGAGAACTATGTATATATTCTTGATCGAATGTGCTTGCAGTGTATTTGTTGACATGGTTTAAGATTATTCAGCGAAATAAAAGGGAATGACATCATAGTAAATGTTCCTTTATACCAAAATGTGATAAGGACCTCATTCCATCAAATTGAACACTATTTAACTACGATAGCCTCGCTTCGGCCCTTGGTTGTGTCTGCTACCACACTACGGGGCATTGACGATTACCTTAACTATGCTTTTTTTTATGTAATAATTCGGCAAACGAGCAGACGGACTACCTGATGGTAAGCAATCAGCGCCGCCCATGGACACTTGCAATGGAGGAGTTACGAGTGCGTTGCCGATCTTTTAGGGATTAGGGATTTGGAGATTTAGGGATTGAGGAGGGATTGGGGGAGGAGAACTCACTCACACGGCGAAACACAACGCTGTGGTTATTTCACGCCGGTTTTCTGTGAGGCCGTGGTATCACTCCCGTCGAGCCGACCCATTCGTGCCGAAGCATGGCTCTCCCACATTATATAAGTAAAAAAATTGTTCCAAAAACAATAACTAAGTTCCAGTGACCTACCACAAAATTATTGTAATTTTTTCATATTAGTTAAATCCTCATTTGTTCAAGTTGCTACGAAAGGTGAAAAACTCGATTGCAAAAAAAAGTATAAAATAATTATTGTATACTATCCTAGCTGTCTGGCTTTTACTTCTGTATAGAAATAAACTCTTTTTCCATGGTCTTCGGTAAGTAATCACATCAAATGACTCTGATTTAATACGGCGGTTAACCACTCAACTGATTATTCACTCAAAACATGAATTTAGATTCTCTGCAATTATAATAAGAATGAAAGTCCAAAGCGAGAGTTTTACTCTTATTTTGACAAAGTTTTATTCTAACAAATGCAGCTGGTAATAATAATTCAACCGAAATGTCAGTCTATTTTTATATTCCACTTTATTTACAACTTACCTATTCATATACTCTTCATTCTCTAAACCGAAACGTAACAATTATATCTTGTACTACATTGTTTTGTTTCTCTACGACTGAATTTCTAAGAAGAATAGCCCACAGGAAACAATACGTTGACATTTAAACACACATGTAAGACCTTTAAGTAAAGGTAGGTGACTAGGAGCAAAGAAAGGAGGTAGATGTGGCAACTATATGTTTTGCACTGAGCAAAGTTAGCTCAGATAACAGAATTAGCCGGGGTTGCGGGGTAAGCGCAATGAGGCACCGCGACCTCGGCCCAGAGCAGGAGAAGGAACAGGGGGTTTTTAGTCAGTAAGAGTCTGACACTCCCTCCCGCCCGACTCTGGGCAGGAGAAGTCATTTGATGATTTTCCCCTCACAAAAAAAAACAGATAACAGAATTACAATTACGTGTTTCGAAAAAAATATGATATGAATCGCATTTTTTTGCGATTGTTATTGTTATTATTTTTTTCCACAACATTTTCTGTTTTTTCGTATACAATGAAGTGTCTATTAATATATATTACAGTTTATTATAAACATATTTGAACACAAAAAACATGTTTTTTATAAACATATTTTATAATATTATTTAACACTTAGAACGCCATGTCGGACAATGCTGTCCGACGCTAGCGGAGGATTAGCCTTTACCAGTTTTTGTAGGCAGTTAAATGCTTAATTGAAAAGACTACTGAGTCTTGAATAAATACATATCTACATATTGATATTTTTATCTAGTATATTGCTAAGAATGGTACCTATAATATACTTTAACTATTCAGGTCTCCCACGAATTCCTCTCTGTTATATCATGTTCTATCTACCTCATCTCCTCTTTCTTCGATCTGAGGCGGTGCCATAACAAAAGATGTTTAAGTAAATATCGTTACCCTTACGAACATGTCGCTGAGCCCTTTCGTGACCCGTTTTTGTTTTTCAATGGGATCCCTATTAATTAGTAAGTACGTTTGACTTACATGAACAAATATTTTCTTTTGAAATATTTATATGGTTTCCTTTATTATAGCAAATATATGAAATTCATAGGCGAATTTCTTATATTGAATGATAAAACTGAAATCCTATTTTTGACTACGAATAAATTTTATTGTTGACGGGAATTTAATGTTTAAATTAATGAATGGATTTTATTATTAGAGGGTTCAAAACTAAAAAAGCCAGAATGAAAAATGCTTCATCACGATTTAAGATTAAGACCTATTTTTGTATTTAATTTTTTTATTTGACTCACTTTTTAATATACAGAGAATCCAAACCGAAAACGTTAGCCTCAATTAGCTAAATTTTAAAGATTGAAAAGTCATAAGGTCTCAATAAAGCGACAATTTACCAGTGTACCGTACACTAATAAGGGGCCACGCAATAAATCAGTCGAGCTATTATCCATAGGATTCAGAGCTTCAATCTCAACGCCATCCCATCTATCATTTGACTTAGCGTCATCTAAGCGGAAGGTAATTCCATATATTCTGGCCCGTCTTCTATGCATCCTAAACTCAGCAAATACAACTTTAAAACTAATTTATAACAATTACTGTTTATCAACATGACTATAAAAATTTACGGATGTTTATATATAGATCGGCCGCTAAATATAAAAACTGAAGAGATCAAATAATATGATAGTATTAAAATTAACAAAAAGAGAGAAATACTCACAATGTAATTGATCATTAAACAAACCTTTTTGGTTACGTTGGTATTAAAAAAATATAAAATTCAACAATAAAAAGTTACGCCTTTGCCACTAAAAGAACTCGTACGTATAAAATAGAACTATGGATACAAAAATTCTCTTTCTGACAATTGGATGTCAAACAGTCATTTAAAAAAGAGCTTAATGCTCTTAAAAATAAAATCGTCCGTGCGGTTTATGGTAGCAATTCAGAAGCACGAAATTACAACACCGCTTTAATGAATTTACTGAAGAAATATGGGGTCGCAAATGTGAAGTGCATTTTAATTCTCAGCTCGGCAACCGTTTTGTCATAAAACGAGTGAATTAAAACTCATTTTTTACTCCAACAAAGAACGAAATGAGAATGGTAAATTACTGTATTTATTCTCTTTGTGTACGTGTCGAAATAATGCGATTATTGTTCGGCAATCATAATCAAACTATCATCAATTGTTCCGATACATTGCCTACAGGCGGCAATTAAGCTTTATTGACTGACGTTCCATGTATTACATATCACCGTTGTTATGAATTTAGCTCGTAATTGCGTTTTTGGTCTTAATTAAGAACATTTACTCTTTTGTATTTATACTAGCTTTTATTTGCGTTTTTAAATAGCTCTAGAATACAAAGAGTTATTTACTATAGGAATCTAATGTTAACGTAATGTTCTTTAAGCTTTTGTTTGTGAATCCAGTAACTAAAATAAAATAAGAACATTTCATGTTTGTTATTTATATATAACTATTGGGTATAATAATACTCTTCAATAAAAAATTATATATTCAATAAAAATTATATTATATAAATTATTTACTGTAGGCTTTTCTGAATTTTAAATCCAAACGACTACGCCTAAACACGTCGAAGAATTTAAAGGAAATAAAGGAAAAAAAGAAAGAAAATTAAGGAAAGAAAAATTATAAAGAAATTGGAAAGAAAATAAAGGAAGGTGAGGAAAGAAAAAAGAAAAGAGAGAAAATTAAATCTTACCTGGCACCCAGTTTCTACGTTAGCATACATGCCAGGTCTCACAGGTACATAGTCACAAGAGAAGCTCGTGTCTGGCACGCTGTGGTATATAGGAAAGTCGACTCCTGGCGTACCAGGTACATTGCGAAGGTCCTGTGGCTTCTCGTGTTCACGCAGTGGCTTAGGACGGATGATGGCTTGCTCGTAGTGCGTTTCATATGGATCGTATTGCTGGAAAAAAATTGTAATTTTTATGTGATATACTTAAATAAATTAGCTGGAAGCAAATTGTTTCCTAAAGGCCATTCTTAGAATCATCGGGAAGGCATCAATATAGTATTTGTTTAATTATTTATGTGCATTATTCACTAATTCAAGGTAATCTTGTTAATTTCCTTTCTTAGAGATAAATACATAGATTATGTTATAGGACTAGTTTGATGTCATTGGATTGGTTCTTAAAGAAATCAAGTACTTTTTTACATATCTACTTTTTTGGAACTACATTTGTTTTCCATTCGTGATATTTATTACAAAAATACATGACTACTACATAACACTTCTATTAAAAAAAAAAAGTCAAAAATCATTTATTCCAATTAGACCTTTACAGGCACTTTTGAACGTCAAACAAAATTTTGTCAGTCTGTCGGTCAGTCCTCTTAGTGAAGCTATTTGCTCGTTCCAAATTGTAGATTCCGATGGAGAAGAACGAGCAAGAAACTCCATGGTTACTCTTTTTAAATCAGTTTCACATACAGATTCCTTTTCATGACACGTACACGTACACCAGCATCGCCCAACTTAACCATGTTATAGGAAATTTTCTAACCCTTGTTATAATTTAAAGGCTAAGTAACCTAACTAAGCTAGTTTTATTTGTGACCGTAAAATACACAGAACATTACTTCAACGTCTAACTGCACTATTACACAGTTAATCACTTTAATGGCCCGGACTTTATTCCTGTACACTGTACATTACACATTAAAGCTGTAAATTGAATGTTCTCAAATAATTCTAAATTTGGTTTAAGATTTTAATAAAAAAAAAACAATCGTGTTACAGCGCTGTTGATGAAGTGATGGCGTCACATGAAAGCGAATGTCGAGTTAGAGTTTGCGAGTCAAACAATTGCAATAATGTATCGAGACCCGGATTGGAGCAGGAGAAATAATGGTATAGTTTTTAGTAAGTTATGCTTGGGCCACACTAATGGGAAATATCATTTACTATCGCGATAATGGACGTTAATCGTAGGTGTAATTTGAACACTAAACAAATAATTGAAGGTATATTTTTCTGTTTAATATGATCAATTATCACGATTATTATTGGTATTCCGTCAGTTTTGCCCCACCAGAGTCTGACAGCCCAGAAAAACGGTGAACTCGATTGGTCATTCGAGCAAAGTATTTTGCCAAAAGCACTATGATGTCTAAATGCGATACGTAAAAACTTTTTAGTTTATGATTTTTGTAAGGTACAGTTAGTCCTAGTGTTTTATAAGAAATTGATTTAAAGATTTAAAAATGTATTGGATAACATTTTTAAATCCTTAAATCAATTTCTTATAAAACACTAGCACTTACTGTAGTTTTGATACAGATTTCTAGTTTAGAATTGAGAGAAACATAATAAATCAATTTCCTTCCAATTCAAAAGTAACACAAAGTCAAGAACTTCCAAACCTACGTATTTGCGTACAGATGTTCGTTCAATTGGAATTATATTAAATTTCTTTTTTAAAATGATGGGACTTTCTATACGTTTGAAGAAATTAATGGAATTTAATACGAATCAACTAACACCCTTCAGTTAAAATTTTTATTGTTCAAAGTCAGTCAAAAACTTAACTGCCAATTACTTTTCTGAAACATTTTTTTTTATTTCATATCATAATCACATAGTCGAATTCATTATTACCCATTACTATTTACTAAAACTGTCAATCATATTGTACCAGTCATTTATACAATCAAAACAAAAAACCAACAGGATAAAGCTACAACCATTCAGACGCATACAACTTTCTACAAGTCAATATGATTAATTACTTAGAACAAATCGTGAGTCTTATTACATAAGACAATAAGGTCGAGAACCACATCAATGGCCGACCATGACACCGTTACGGTTTTTTACACGCAACTTTCAACACACATATCCACCTACAAGTGTATCATAATCTTACATAAGAAGCTCGTTTAAAATGCTATAGTTATTAAATGATCGGGTTCGAACTAACTGGTGTAATTGAGGCCAACAACGAAAGCGTGTTTGAATAGGTTTTGGGTTTAGGTATTTGTAAGTCATAAAGTTGAAAGTAGGAAGTGCTTTTGGGTCATATTTACAGCTCTTGTATAAGTGTGAAAACATTTGTTTAAAAAATATGAGAGACACGTTTTTTTAATACATGTGGCTTACAAAATAATAAAGCTTTACTTAGTATAAAAAAACCAACAAATTATAATTTGTAAAAGTCATTAGGTAAAGAAGAAATTACAAAATTATTTAAAAATACCACAATGCTACAATGAGATAAAATAAATAACACATCTCAACCGATGTATTCAGTGAAAGATTCTTTAAACAATTCCAAATCAACTATGCTTTACAAGTCAGATTAATTTACAACTAGAAATAAAAACATTAATCAAAAGAACTTTCTAACAACCACTTTCAATCTACAATTAGTGCAAAGTAAATTATAATCTAAAATGTACTGCGTTAATTTCGCCATAGTTCCGCGCTTGCGCTGCGCAGTGAGAGGGGATCGCACGCATGCGCCGCGCTTGTCACGGACGCCCGGAGTTGCGCAGTGCCACCCAAAGTGCAGCCGACTTGCTCGAATGATCTAGTCACTACTCGAGAAGCAAGTTCTAATATTTAACTTAATAGATATTATTACGCTTAACTAGATTAACTGACAAGCTGTCACATTTCATTTTGATATGATTGGTAGTTTGCCTTTTATGTTATCGTTTGCTTACTTGACAACACCTAACGATGGATTACATGCCGTATATTTATTCTTCTTAATGTATGGAGAACGTTTTATTCCTTCTCCATTTCTAACAAATGACCTCAGATAAACCCCTCTTGGGTCTAAATCTGAGGTCTTAACCTAAGACATCTTTTCGTTTGTTTATTGCTGTTAATATTAAATTTTTAAAGTTCTGCACGTATGTAGTTCCATTTTATAATCATTACAAAATTAATGTATGAAGTGGCTTCAGTTTCAAATCAAAGGTTACTAAGGTACTGTAAACAATAATGACATTCATCTGCCAAGACTACAACAAAATAGGTCTAATTTATCAACGTCTTTGGAATCCCTTGCAGAATAATGTTAAGAAATTATTGACATAAAAATGAAGTACTACTTTTCTCAAGGCTGCAAGGTCAGTCTTATCCAATCATGTCACAGCCCTTTAAACACTATAAAGCCTATATAATTGTCCAGATTATATATATACTATATTTATATATAATTTACGTATTTTTTATTACACTAGTTTTAAATTGAAAATATTTTTGTTAATTTTTTTTTGAGATAATATTTAATTTTATCCATTCAATCTGGAGACAAAATACAATATATTATTACTATATTATATACTACGATGTGTGATGTCAATTTTGGGATCAAACGCTAGTTTACTTTCCTCCCCAGGAATAAACCTGTTAAAACCATAATATTATAAGCATGGGAGTGCCAAGCTTCAGCACGAATGAGTCGGCTCCTTTTGAGTGATAGAGTGATAGGTACACACTAAAACTGGCTTAAAAAAACCACAGCATTGTTCTTCACCGTGTGAGTGAGGTTACCAGAGTCCCATCAGTCCCCTAATCCCTAAATTTTCAAAACCCTTATCTCCAAAAGGCTGGCAACACACTCGTTCCTCCGCTGGCGTCCATGGACGGCGCCGATTGCTTACCATCAGATAATCCGTCAGTCATTACATTTGCCGACATATCACATAAAAAAAATTTAGAAGCGAATAAGAAAAATATTTTAAAAATAAAATAAAAAAAAGAATATTCCATAAAAGTAATAAAACCTATTTAAAACACATTTAATTAATATTATCTTCAAGAGAAATGAGTAGCAAACCTTATAAATATGCAAATCAAAACTAAGTGGGCGATCGAAAAGCAATAAATTGTGGCTTACTAAAACATTTCACAATATTGAAACCTATTTCCTAGTGTACAAAATCTGAATTGCATTTGTTATATCACACTTGTTGGATAACGTCCTATATTTTATGAGTTCATTTCTCTATAGGTATATTATACAATATACAATATCAGGTCAGGTTTCCAAAGAGCTTTAATCTCCGAAGGGACGACTTCTTCAACCCATCACTTTTAACACATTTTGATCTATTTTAAAGAAGCGTATTGAGTCTGTCACTCAATACACTTCTTTGTTGCAAAAAAAAAGATCAATGTGGTAAGCAATCAGCGCTGCCCATGGTCACCCGTCTACCCGTCTCCTGTTTTTTTTTTTTTTTTGTTAGGGGAATATCATCAAATGACTTCTCCCGCCCAGGGCATGGCGGGAGCGTCAGACTCTTACTGACTGAAAATGCTCTGGGCCGAGGTGGTCGCGGTGGCCGTCACCCGTGTCATCATAAGAATTACGAGTGCGTTACCGTCTTTTTGGAGATTAGGGTTTAAGACATTTGGGGACTAGGAGGGAGAAGGATTGGGTCGGGTTAAATCACTCACAATGCTAACTCTGTGATTGTTTCACGGTGGTATTCTATGATATTGTGGTACACTCCGGTCTGTCGGACGAGCCGGCCCATTCGTACCGAAGCGTGACTCTCCCATACTTGACATTATGATTTTATTTCTATTCCATTAACACAAAATAAAAAGCAAAGAACAAAGAAACGACAAACAAATTACGACTCTAAACTCCCACGTCAAGTATCATATTCAAAAGTTAAATAAAAAAGAAATATAGTTTCAGTAAAGCATTATTAAAAAGTATATTAAAGAAATGAAAAGAAAAAATGACACAATTATAAAAGTGATTTCATTCTGTGACGGCTTCAGTGTCCCTCGAGAGTTGACCGGGTACTTCTCTATATTTTTTTTTATAACTTACTTATTCAGATATTTTAAAACGTGCTCTCAGTTCGATGTTTAATTTCAAAGTTGTAAGAACTTTCGTTTCAAAGATTTTATTACAACTATGAATTGTAATATCAGACTTGAATCACTTGTTTTAGGGTACTCGAGTGTGTAATTAATTTTAAATTATTTTAACGTCTTCTATAGTGTCCTATGGTAGACTACGTTTCGAAGTTTTTTCAAAACAATGCATTCGATATCTTTAGAAAGCATTTCAATTTCTTTATAACCTGTAATACGTTTAAAAAGTACTTGCAATGCAAATATTTATAAATTAAATTCTATCGAATGAATACGATTTTGATTCTGCCAAACACGCACTTGGCACATTTTCAAACCCTCAATTTATGAGTTTCGTTTACTTTCAAAGTAGTTTATTAGTTTCTATGAAAAATAAATTTGATTTTTTTTTCTATAATAATATTTAAATTACAACCAACTTTAATGAACTCTCAAAACTAATTTAGCTTCAACACCTACACAGAAAATTATTTTATTTTGCGTTCTAATCAACTTTGTACAAACGAAATCGAAAATTGTTGATTTTGAACATGACAACCTTTATATCGGATAGACCTTTAAAATTAATACAACTCTCTTTGACGCCCTTTAAAACGGATTAATAGGTCTAATTACTGAGTGAGAATTTAATAAACTTCTTAAGTTAAAAGAAAAAAATATCTGAGCCGCACTAGAAGGTGCGAATTTGCAAAATTACTTCTGAATACCAATTCTTGGACCGAGCCGAGTTACAAACAATTTTCACTTTGAGAGGCTTGATCAAAGAAATGAAACTAAAAAACAGGCCTTTCCTTAGACTTGTCGATGAAAATGAGAGTAAATTTAACCAACAGTAATTCTCCTTTGAAGGCCTCTAGGGAGACCAGTTGAAAGGAAAATTGCAAAAGTTAGCGTTCCCTTATGAGAGGTCGAGTTATAGCAACTAGATACTGTGAGGTCGGTCGGTCCACCCTTTTATTGTAATATCTGTACTTTAAACATTTGTAGCAAACTTCGTCTTTGAACTATGCACCTATTTCGAAGTTCGAAACGATGTTACGAATTTACATGTTAATATGAAATATTGTTGATGGGTTTTAAATCAAGTTTCTTTAAGTTTGCAGCGTTTATTTAGTTTTAAGTCTTTGAAAACGATATTGATCAACTTTTACAGAAACTGACTCGACATTTGACTGCGCTTTTAAAGTTGTCCCTTGGAACATTTCATTGTATCATCCATTGTTGGACCGAGTCAGACAGACAGAGTATGAGAAGATACATGTTTGTAAAAGACACATCATCATCAGCCTATAAGTGCCCACTGCTGAGCAAAGGCCTCTTCTCACACGGAGAAGGTTTGAGCATTAATCACCACGCTTGCTCAATGCGGGTTGGCGATTTCAAACTTACAATTAGAAATTATAAGTCCAGGTTTCCTCACGATGTTTACCTTCACCGTATGTCAGTAGTGTCTAAATAATCATAGAAAGTACATATAACTCGGAAAAAGTCACATTGGTACTTGCCAGGTTTCGAACCCACGCCCTCATGCATGAGAAGCGGGCTCCTTAACCTCCAGGCCACCATGACAACATTGTAAAAGACATAGAATAACCTATAATAACCTTAACATTAACCTTAGTGAACAGCATTTTTTTAATGGTATAGGTCATAGACGTATCTTTTGATGGTGACCAATCGGCACCTCCAACCCGCAACACTGAGGAATTACAAGTGCGTTGCTGGTCTTTAAAGATTGGGGACGAGGCGAGAACTGGGTCTCCGAAAACCCTATTCTTATGGTGCAACAGAATGCAACACGGTTTCACAGCACATTAATGCCAAGACATAGCTCTCATACTTATGGTGGATTGGAGATTGGAGTTCAAAAGGCCAGACTTATCTAAGCGCCTCCCTGCCTTTGGCTTTTAAATATACCTATATGTATAGTCACAATCGCCTTTTGTGTCACCCACTGTTAAAAGATTGAAGTTGACCTGACTAGTGATCCGAACTCAGGTGTCGGATCGTAAAACATTTAACAGCCTCATACCTTTAGTTAAACTGTACATTAAATATAAACAAGATGTCGTAAAAACCTATAAAATGCACTAACTAGTCTTCATTGGATTGATGTGAGTTTTGTATTAATGTAAATCAACGATCGACCAAAGCAAAATTAATGTTTCGTCATTACATTATCAACGTCATCATCATCAGCATCATCATCATAAGTGTGGGAGAGTCATGCTTCGGTAAGTGTGGGAGAGTCATGCTTCGGCACGAATGGGTCAGCTCGACCGGAGTGATACCACGGCCTCACAGAAAACCGGAGTGAAATAACCACGTTGTGTTTCGCCGTGTGAGTGAGGTTACCGGAGGCCCAATCCTTCCCCTCTCCCAATTCCTCCCCAATCTCCAAATATCTAATCCCCAAAAGTAAGATCGGCAATGCACTCGTAACTCCTCTGTTGCGAGTGTCCATGGGCGGCGCTGATTGCTTATGCTTATGCTTATGCTTAGAAATTATAAATTCTAGTTTCCCCGCAGATGGGGCCTAACAATGCCGATGTTAAGACGGGGTTACGGGGCAAGCGCAATATGTAAGGTACCGCGGCAACAGGCTTTGGCAGGAGAAGAAACAGGGTGGTTTTTAATCAGTAAGAGTCTGACACTCTCTCTCGTTTCACTCTGGGCGAGGAAAGTCATTCCACGACATCACACCTCAAAAAATAAGTTTTCTCAGGGTAATTTCCTTGACCTTGTCAGTAGTGTCCAAATACACCAAGCAAGTTCATATGAAACAGAAAGTAATATTGGTACTTGTGAGGTTTCAAATTCTCTTCAATCCTCAAGCATGCGAAACGCACTATCAAACCTCAAAATATCAAACCAGTATGAATGTAAAGACAATATCTCTTTCCTAGTAAGAATTTAAACACAAAACAAGTGAAGATCGATTATTACCTTGTCAACTGGTATTATCTGCCTTCTTCTTAGTAGAAAATAAAGGATGTATTTTATATCATAATTAATTTAATCAAGGTCCTAAGTTACCAAATATGCAATAACAATTCCTACCTTATTTTTAAGGAACAAGGTCTGTAATATAGAAGCATGATCCCACGATCCTTATCTTCAATTGTATAATGTTACATTATTGCAATATTAAGAATTTTCACACGTGTTTGTTTCCTATAGGTCGGGTTTTAGGGCCTTGAAAACTAAAATGGTGAAATACCTAATAAATTTACTTTTGTAAATAAGATAGAAACCGCTAATATTATACAATTTTCGAGGTTAGCATTCAGGATTTCTAAATTTCTACAAATTGAGAGTTCACTCTATTTTTAAAAACTAAAAAACAAGATAATAAACCATGCAGGATAATTCTGTACTCCATGATAATGGTTATTGCATTAAATCCGAAAAGAAACATCTTGGAATTAAGAACTTTTTATCGAGTTTTAGTACGAATCTAGTGCTTAATTTATCTGCGATTATGCAATTACTTATTTAATAAGCACTTACACAATAACATAATACCCGTACAGACAATTGAACATGGAAACCTATACTCTTTTACTCCATAGTTCATAATATATTTTTTTTTAATATTATAAGTCGGCAAACGAGCAGACGGATTACCTGATAGTAAGCAATCAACGCCGCCCATGGACACCCGCAACGGAGGAGTTACGAGTGCGTTGCCGACCTTTTAGGGATTAGGGATTGGGGAAGGGTCCGGGAAGGGGAAGGATTGGGCCTTCGGTAACCTCACTCACACGGCGAAGGCGAAACACAACGCTGTGGTTGTTTCACGCCGGTTTTCTGTAAGGCCGTGGTATCACTCCGGTCGAGCCGACCCATTCGTGCCGAAGCATGGCTCTCCCACTCTTAAATATATATCTTTATATATAATATATTTATAATAGGGTAGTTTCACACGAATGAAATTAAATACTTTTGCCGGAATGTCAAAAATTACAACTTCCTACGAATTTCATATTATTATGAAATACCACGTCGAACCATAAATAAATTCTATATTAAAAAATGGCATACTAATTTCTGTGGAATTACCTAAGTAAATACAAATATTCGTGGATCGTAAACACGCTGTATTTATTTTAGATATTTTATTAGTTTTAACTAATCTATTTTTGACTGAGAAAGCTACCCATTTACCAGAACGACTTATACAAATATTAACTCCGTGACCAATACAAATCGACTTACTTGTAGATACGCAGCGTCGGATACTAGACCACACAGCAACGCCCCAGTGAGCGCCCTCAGCACAGCTTTACCCATTTCCCCACACATTTTGGCAACTCGACTATGAACTGTCTTGACGAGAGTGTAGCTATAACTAAACGAAGCACAGTGCAATCATCGCCCCACTAAAAGTAAGCCGTGGTAGGGTTTCGTTTATGAAACAAACGGCCAAAGACCTGTCGAATTAACTTGTTTCGTATGTATTGCGAATTTTAATATCCTAGTGATATTATAAACGTGAAAGTTTTAAAGTACGGGTGAATGTTTGGTACTCGTCCACGCAGAAACTACTGAAGGGATTCGAATGAAATTTGGCAAATAGATAGGTCTAGAGTAAAATGGGTACTTTTTATAAATAACATTATAATATTTGCCGATTTGTTCCTGTAACCACAAATGCTGAAGAAAAAATTTACAACATCAAGATTCTGCAAACCTTATCCTAATATCAAAGATTTGATTACAAGCAGATTCTAAAGGCAACACACAAATTATGTAAATTTCTAGACAAAGTCAAAGGTTAATTAGAAAAATAAATACTTATAGAATATTTTTTTTTTTAAATATTGGTATCCTATTTATTACATCGTACAATAATTTGATACCGTGATAGACTCGCAACATTAAATAAATTAAAACCTTCGAAAGTCGTTTTTTGTGTGACTATTTATTAAAGAATTAAGTACTATAATAAAGAAAATAAATAGGTCAAAATAATCATCATTATATTTTATGACATAAATCAATGACGTTATCCACTCACTCACGCAATTTACACCCAAAAAATGTTGTAAATTTTATTTGAACACAAAATAAAAACAAAAAAAATAATAAATCTGCAGTTCTACACGGATATTCGAAACACATCAACGGAATTACGGCGTCAATAAAAGCACTTTTTTTTCAATGGCCGCCGAAATTCGTGCCCACTGCGAATCGTCATTTTGTGATTGACTTTTTATGTAAAAAAAACAAACTTTCATTGGATTAAGACAAAATTGTTTATTCTATCTGTCAAAGCCTACAATATGTGGGTTGCGGAGTGTTTTTTTGTGAAATCTAATGTACGGATAGTGCAATATGTTAGGATAGAGATTTTTGTAGCTTTGTTCGTGTCAATTTTATTGAATGTATAACTGTATTTTTTGTTTAAAACTTTTTCAGTGATACGTTATTTTTTTAACTTTTGCTTTAAGAGCTGTGTATTAGAAATAATAACGTAACTAAAGAAAAACAACATTAAATAACAATAATAACACAACAAACAAAGCATAATTAGTATTACGTTAGCCAATTAGAAAATTGTTTGATAACATACACTTTCAGTTTTCACGGGCCGATGCGCTTACGCCGCTAGTTTCCCGACGTTCCGACTTAATTATTCCCGCTATTAACTGTTCCTCGAGTAAAATACATATTAATTTTTCGTATTCGAAAGTTAAATAGAAATAGATACCTGTATATTTTTTTTGCCATTTAAACATAATGTTTTCGTAATTAATACTCGATTTTTTATGAAATAGAGTGATTAACAAGTAGATTGATCACTTTAAAGTTAGCAATATCCAGACGTTGTAGAGTTAGGGATTTAAGGGATGGAGGGTGGTTGTCCAGTAACTGTCCCCACGTGGCGAAACATAACGTTAACGATGTTTCACGCATTCTAAGGTCTTGGTATCTGATCGAGCCGGCTTAATCTTTTCGAACCACGGCTTCTCCAGACTTTGCACATTGGCAGCTAGAATTTCTCATTATACTATAACACTAATCAAAGCAAGCAGAGGTGCCACAACAAGGCACACCTACTTTACACTATTTGAGTCTTTATGGACTTTATGGAAGCTACAATTATGGAAGGAACATAAAGGGTGAACCAATTGCAGCATATTGAGAATCGAAAATCATTGAACCTATACGTACGTCATACTTGCATCCAGTCGACTAAAGCCATATGTATTTCATAACATATTTAAAAACTTATATCAACTAAAGGATTACCTCCATAGTCACATACAACAAAAAAACAGCTGTACACATTCACTGAAACATAATTTCACAAAATTAAACCCGGATATTTATGGCTCTCGGAGGACAGATAAAAAAAAATCGTTGAAAGTTACCTGGTATTCTGAAAACATACATTACTTTTATCTCGTTTGTATACATAGTTCCCCAGAGTGTACATCGGTATAAAACAGATCAGTGTTGTTTAAATATTTAATTCGATAACATTTATAAGGTAAATTATTAAGCTGCTCTAGATTGGAATTGATAATAATATTAAGTGCATCCTTAATCCCCAAAAGGTTGGCAACGCTATCGTAACTCCTATTGTAATACATGTTATGTCTATAAGCGGTGCTCATTACTAAATTGCCACCCTGTGCCATAGAAAAAATACTAGGTTTCTAGAACAGGCTAATACTTTTTCGAAACAACCAACATGCAACAGCTATAGCACCCGAACATTTGGTATGTCAAAATCGCAAATCACGAACCAAAAATTTGGTAATCGAACTATTAATTCGAAGCGCCAGGGGATGAGTGGCCGGCCTTTTGGGTTTCGGAGATTTTGCGATTGGGGGAAGCATACACACGCCGAAACACAACGCTGTTGCTGTTTCACGTCGGTTCTCTTAAGGCCGTGGTGTCACTCCGGTTGAGCCGAACCATTCATACCAAAGCTTGGCTCTCCCACACTGAGACTAGAACGTTGAAGTTCTTTCAAACTAACTCAATGCACTTCTGAAAGTCTCTGAACCTTCGTTAAAACCAATTGACACCACAAGGGACATAAGTTTTTAACATTAATAACAAATTCTGAACTTACATTAACAAAATCGCTTAGGAATAATTTAGTTTAGCTAAGTACTGAAGTTCTGAAGGGATCCCCTATTTAGTAAATATCAAATTTAGTTTGTTTCATGTAAACTGAATGCTGACATGTGATATAAATTGCTTTGTAATTGTAAAAGCACTTACAAAACCTAATTTTCAAATTGAATACTTCACTTTACTTCTTTGATATTAACGAACATTGAAGAAAAGTTTTGTGTAATCATTGTTTGGTGTTTTAATATAGACTGACGACATTTATTTTTTAACACTAAAAGTATAAAAGTGTAGTTTTTTTCGATTTACCTTTTTTAGATTAACTAAGTGATGTAGAAGTGATTAACGACGTTAAGCAGCTATACGTGATCATGTATTTAGGAAATTGTTTTTTATTAGGGGCATTCTGTTATCCGAAGTTTTCTGCATTGGTTGTAACTGATGTTACGTAATAATTCATTAATGAATTGTATCGTTTAGAAATTAAAGTATGTTTCCATAAACATTGGTGTAACATTAAATTAGACAACTATATAAATTAACACACCCAAATCTGATATAGATTACAAATTAATAGACAAACAACATTTCTAGCCAATTTTCCTCCACAACGATATATCTAACAGGAAAAACCGAATAAACGTTCACTTAAACTATTTCCAAACACAAGGAACCTTCCTATTACCAGTGATTTCTTAATAAACCTCTTAAAATAAGTTCAAGTCAAAGACCTAAGACAACTTAGTAATTCAGAAACTATCACTATACCCTTCTAAGATAAGGACGGAGCTATATGTATTATATAGTTTTATCTCTGTCTCTCGTAATATCGATAGTTAGTAGTTCCGAATAGGTCCCGTGGGCCAGAATTACTGGCCAGTTGCGAAAGTGTAGATAACTTGCAACTTGGGCCTTCGGAAACTTGTTCCTAACTGCACGTGGTGTAACAATAATCGCACTTTAACGTGTTTTAAGTCAGGACCTGACGGGCTGCATGCCAAGGTCTGGGTCCTGGCCTCGGAGGCTCTCAGGCCTCGACTACTTGGTCTGTTCAGCGCATGTTTGGAGAGAGGCCAGTTTCCGCTGTCGTGGAAGACGGGTAAACTGGTCCTCGTGAAGAAGCCGGGGCGTCCTGCGGACTCCCCGTCCGCGTACCGGCCCATTGTGCTGCTCGACGAGGTGGGAAAGCTGTTCGAGAGGATAATCTCAGACCGCCTCGTCGGGCACCTGTCTGGAAGGGGGCCGGATTTAGCGGACGGCCAGTTCGGCTTCCGCAGAGGGCGCTCCACGGTGGACGCCATCATGCGCGTGAGGGACCTCACGACGGGGACAGCGTTGGCCGGGAGGCGAGTCGTCGTGGCGGTGTCTCTGGACATCGCCAACGCCTTTAACTCGCTGCCCTGGAGCTGCATTTTGGAGGCACTCCGGTATCACCGGGTGCCTGCCTATCTCCGTCGTGTAGTCGAGGCTTACTTGACGGACAGATGCGTCATCTACCCCGGTCACCGGGGCGTGTGGAATCGGCGAGAGGTGTCGCGCGGTGTCCCACAGGGATCGGTCCTGGGACCTCTCCTGTGGAACATCGGGTACGATTGGGTGCTACGCACCGACCTCCCGAGCGGCGTCAGCATTGTCTGTTATGCTGACGACACGCTGGTGCTGGCGAACGGGAGGTCGCATCAGGCGGCGGCCGACCTGATGTCACAAGCGGTTGCGACAGTCGTTGCAAGGATCCGGCAGTTGGGACTCGAGGTGGCGCTCCACAAGTCCGAGGCCATGTGCTTCTATGGCCGTCGGAGCGCGCCACCTCCAGGTGGGTCCCAAATAACGGCAGGAGGAGTTACCATCGGCGTCGAGTCGGCGATGAAGTACCTGGGTCTCGTCCTCGACAGCCGATGGAACTTCACGGAGCATTTTCGTCGTTTGGCCCCTAAGTTAGAACGGTCTGGGGCCGCGCTCAAGCGGCTCCTTCCCAACCTCGGGGGGCCAAACGCCTCCTGCCGGAGGTTGTATATGGGGATTGTGCGATCCATGGCCCTCTACGGTGCCCCTGTGTGGGCGCCGGCCTTGAAGCGGCGGCCGGCTCGTACGCTGGTCGCGTCCCAGAGGGTCATGGCTATTCGAGTAATCCGCGGGTATCGCACGATCTCCGGGGAGGCGGCGAACCTCCTTGCCGGATCACCGCCGTGGGATCTAGAAGCGAAGGCGCTCGCGCGCGTCTACAGTTTGCGCGCAGACGCGCGTCGCCGGGGCGAAGATCCTCTGCCGCGCCAAATTAGTGCGTG